TTGGCCGCGCGCCCGACAACCACGCGCGCCGACTTCGAGCCGCTCCTTTCTGAAGTCGCCTCCTTGAAGCAAGTCATCGATGCCCATTACAAAAACATCCAGACCAAATGGCGGCCCCCGCTACGATATATGCTAGACGACATGCGCTCCCGGGCCACCGACGACAGGGCGGCCTTGCTGCACTGGGACCGCCGGCCCTTTGAGCCGCTACGCATCCAGTCCAACGAGATGTACCCGCAGGATGAGAAGCGCTTCATGCTCTACTTCGAACCAGACCCCAACTCGCCCGTGGCGCGCAAGCTCTTCGCCCTCGACCCCGAGACGCGCGCCGCCGCCGCCGACCTCTTCGAGATCCTTACCCTCTCCCTGTACCGCGGCCGCGACGGACTCACCCTCGGCGAGATGCTGCCGATGGTGTTCCCCGGCCGATCGATCAACGACTGTGTGCGCGCGATCCCCGGCCTGGCGCAGCACGCCGTCCGCACCCCGAAGCCGGATTTCGACGCCCTGCCCAAGACCCTCATCGCCGAACCCAGTGTCACCGCCGCTCTTGACAACAACGGCGCCGCAGAGCAGCCCGAGCAGCAGCCGGACCCCACCATGTGCTTCCAGGAGAACCTGGACTACGACGTCAGCGACGTGTGCGTGCAAATCATCCCGTGCCCGGTCCTGTGGGACATCTGCATCGAGTACTCCCACTACGAGCACCGCCAGTCGGTCCGGTCGCTCGCTCGAGCCCTCGGCGCCACGATGACACATTCCCGGCTGGGGGCTCACCTCACCAAGGGGAAGAGACTGCACTGAACTCACCCTAACAGCGTCTGGAAAAGAAGAAGCACCAACGAAGAACGAACAGCAAAACAAAACAGATCACAAAATCCAAAAGCATATCCCAGAGACAAGAGCACGCGCGCGTGCGAGAGGTACTTCGACCATCGCGGTCCCTCACCCATCGGACCCTTGTACTATACTATATAAACATCTTCTCGACCTGTCACCATACCCGAAACCCGATGGCCCCGTCCCCGTCGGCGGTTGGACGATTGACCCGTGCCATACCTTCTGTGGATATACTTGACATGGAACTCTTCTTTCTACGAGACGAGAGGAGGCCATTCCCCCCTCATCGATCGACACTCTCTCGCCTCTCGAAACATATACCAAGCCGCACGCGGCTTGAGAGCCAATATGCACTGCGCGCGGGCTTCGCTCCGCACAAGCCCAGAGCCGGCCGTGGCAGCCTGAAAGTCTTCCAGTTTGTGTCCGCAGGATGCGGGCAGAAGGGTTGACTAGAGCTGCCTCTCACCCGGCCCCCAGGCGGGCTGGCCGGGGTGCATCACCCCGCAGAGACGAGGCGGACCATCACTTCCGCAGGGGTTCTTTATATGATGGGCCAGAGCTACATGGTTTGCTATTTACCGTTGGTATATCAGCCCACTGGATCTACGCATCTATATACTATCTACTGTTGTGGACACGGTCTAGATATGCTGTCGCACAGCAGCCTCCCCCAACGGGGGCGATGGGCGTGGAAGAACGGGCTTTTGTACAACTGACGACCCAGAGTCGCCGCTTCATAGAATTAGACTACAATCCTAATAAAGAAAAGGAATCAAAAAGCGACCCCTCAGAGGGGGGGAATTTTTTCAAGAGAGATGATGAATAATGAATAGTACATAGTACATATTAGCGAATGGTGGGAAGAGGTTACCTGAAGCAACCAAGATCATGCCAAGAGATATATAAAGAAAGAGAACAAATATAAGTTGGCGCGAAGATCGGAATGTATCGACGACCTTGCGAATCTAAAATCTAAAATAGGGTATCTTTTATGGTTTGTATGGTCGAATCGAAAGGTGGAAAGAGATTAGAACGATGGTAGCCGCTGGTGAAAAGGCAGAAGAAGAGAAGAAGCGGCGGAGAATGTTGAAGAAAGTATGGCAGAAGAAGAGAAGTGAAGGAGGTTATCCGGCCAAGTCAGAAAGGAAGAAAAAGAAAAGTGAAATAGAAGAGAAAGGTGAATGTCCGAAGAGGATCAAGAAGTGGCTGGTGGTCCGTTGAGAGAAGCTGATGAGAATGACGGGATAATGGAAGTTGTCCGATGGAGGATGTGACAGGCATCCTCAGTGAACGGATTCAGTGAGGTGCAGCCAGTCATCCGGGTGGATGCGCTGACTCGGATCCTTGGCGATGGCAGGCTTAATAATCTGCTCGACGACTCCCCCGCGAGGAACGCGCGAACCATTAGGGCCCGAGCGGGCGAAGTCGATCACCCGATGGCCCTCCCGAGCCATGGCCAGGCGCTGTAGATTGCTGGCACCAGGGTAGAGAAGAAGATCGCCAGTGGCTGCGGCGAGAAGACTGACGGCCAGGGAAAAGACATCAGATTCGGGCGTGGGCGCGACGTCCGGTGACGTCAGGGAGGAGACACAGAGTAATTCCGGGGCCGCGAATGGCGGCGTGAGCGCGGTTAGGGCTGTGCCCATGCTGCACTGTTCGGGTGAGGAGGGGCTAGCAATCGGGTGCGCAGACGAAAAATCGGCAAAGAGCGGCTCGTATGGGAATGAGTCCGACTCCAAGTCGAGGTCCTGGCCGCCGGGTGAACGTAATCGCAGCAGGATGTTGTGGGGTTTGATATCGCCGTGCACCATCTGCGGTCCACTGTGCAGCCAGGCCAACCCAGCAATGAGCTTTTCGGCCAAGGCGTGCCAATGGGCCATGCCTTGAACCGGGTCGAACATGGTCTGCGTGGATCGGGTCTTTTGTGCAATGGCGGCCTTGTCCTGAATGTAGGTCGACAGCGCCAGCGGAACGGCGGACATGACAATGGAATGCGACCCGGAGATGTACCCATGGAAGGGTACGACATAATTCTCCGCGCCTGCTACGCGGCTGATGCGGGTCAGTGCGCGGGCTTCAGCATCAAGGACGGAATGCGCATCCCGTCTCACAGGCGACTTGACAGCCACCACCCGGCCTTTGACGGCTGGGGAACTCGGAGGGGTCAAAAGACCCGATTTGATGGCGGGAGAAGAGGACGCTTTGTATACGACGCTCCAGACGCCACGACCAAATTCGACCGGGCGTCCCTTCGGGTCATAGTGGTACTCTAGATCGTCGGTAAAGTGCTTGGTGTCGGAGATATTCTCGTCGAGTTTCTCCGGTTCGGCATCCACCGGGGAGAGGAAGGGGCTGGAGGCAGTGGAATGCACGGTAACCTCGCTGCCGGAGAGACTGTCATCGTCGATGGTGGGCGTTACCGGGGGAGTAAGTCCACGCAGCACGGTGGAGTGAGGAGTATTTTCACACTCATGCTGGGTACGCACGGAAAGTCGAACAGGCATGTGTGTGATCGCCATGACGAATAATCTCTATTGAGCCTTTCTTCTGTGGTCGCAGTGGAAGGCAGAAATCTGGATGCGGCGAATCCGGCAAAAGCGGCGACTCGGATGGATCGCTATCTGAACCCGACAAATGGAGCAAACTTGAGCAAATGTTAAGTGTATATATAGCTTCGGTGTATAACCAGGAGAATCGGAGGTAGATAGATAAGAGGCAGGCCCTCTTCTTGTATAGTGGTGCAGATACGCAAAAGATGGGGCTGATGGAGAAGTTATAGGCTGCAGTGCTATAGATTTGGCGAAAGATGACTGGTGGCGATCTCGTCGAGATGACGTCGAGAGTCCAAGGAAAGTCAAATGAAGAACGGTTGGAATGATTCCAAGGAGAATTTTGCGGAATGAGTCACTTCAGCATCAAGTGTTTGCGATCAGAGGAAGTCAAGTACTTGCAGGCATCATCGGAGGAATGAAGGACGGAGGAAAAATGGGAGTCGAAAAGAGAGCAGAGAGAAGGAAAATAAGCTGAAGGGAGAAAAGAGGCAAAAGAAAAGAAAAAGAAGAAACCCAAATTAATATTATTATTTGTAGGAAGTCAAGGGAAAAGGGAAAAAAAAGAGGATCGACCGGGGAAAGAAGGAGCTTAATTGTGATGGCAGAACCATGGCAGAAGAACCATGGCCGGCAACAGACGAAGCAGAGTCAAGCGATTCCACCGTCACCGCGCGTCCCTCGACAATTGATCGATTGATTGATTGTAACTGCTACCGTTACCGTCACATAGAGAGAGATAAAGTAGACTAGGAAAAAAGACGAAAAGACGTCGAGAGGGTCCGGCTCCCCACATGGTTCTACTGGGTCTATTTTTCCTTTCCCGCAGTTGTTGCAGACTGTGCAGACTGTGCAGACTGTGCAGACTGTGCAGACTGTGCTGTGTGACTCGGGATAACTATGGAGATTGAACATTCAGTCAGTCTCTTCAGTCTTCACTCTTCTAGGGACGAAGATGAGTTTTGAACTACTCCGTTCCGAGGATCTACTCAGAATACGAGACTGTACCTCATTTGTTCCTGGAGGCCACCGGAAGTGGCCGTGAGTATCGAACAATGAACGGAAAAAGACCGAAAATGACCGAAAAAAACAAGCAAGAGAAGTACACCCACGGACACTATACCCAATTCGGATGCGACGGCTGGCTGGATTGGGCAAATCCGGTGGAGACGAGCATTTCGTGCAGTTCGTCCGTCCTCAGTTGAACTCACAGGCTCACTCCCTCTCCCTCTCCACTCCACCCGGAACGGCTGTCAAATCTCCTCCTTCCTTCCTCAATGCTTCGCTTTTGTCTTATTCATCTGCTGCTGATCCCTTTCTTTTTCGGCCCTCCACTGCAGACGCCATGACGAACACCTCCGAACCTGCGACAGTTGCACTAGTCTACTCGTCGGGGACGGTCACATAAAAGCAGACCACAAGCCCGCAGGACAATGACAGGAAGAAGGATCCGAATGGTTGAACAATGGTTCCAATAGTATCGTGACTAGTGTCCGACCAGTATCAGTGCTTGCTTGTGTCCATCCGGCCCAGCCCAGGGATCTTATCTCGACGCCCCCGTCCTGCGCATCGACCTCCGACTGCTCTATCCTCTGCAGGCTACCCTCTCACCTGCAGGCCACCCAATCTCCGTCCCTACCGCGCATCTGCACAGTGCCTTCCCCGGCAGTCGTGTGCTTACAAGACAAGAGTTAATATGAGCCTTGGAAGAGAAAGAGGAAAAAAATCACTTCCTTCCCTCCTTATTCAGTATCTCCTTGCGACCACCCGACCCATCCCTCCGTTCGAGGCCTGTCTATTGCCGGCGAATGATCAATGGAAGTGGTCGGCTTCGACAGCCAATCTCCACCCCCACGTGGGTCCTCATCTGCCATGGACTCATGGAAATTGGCCGCCATTAAACGCGCTCCACCCGCCCTTCCCAACACGGTAGGTTGGGCGGACTGGTTTTCTGGGTCACGAAAAACAATGGGGAAGAAGAACGACCTGGCCCGGAGGGATTCATGTCCGCCATCGAACTGTATCCACTGTCCCACTACCTGTGATCTCGCTCAAAATGCGATACCTAGGATATCGGTCCAGCAACACCAACCAATTTGGTATCGAGGCCACGCACTGATTCCAGCAGATGTCAAATATCGATCAAAACCTTCCCTGTCGCCGTTGTACGTAACTCGGACACATCCAGATCACCAGACGGGTTTCGCCTCAAGGGGGATTCGTGGCCTTTTGCCGCAGCAGGGATGGAGTAACAAGCAACCACGATGGCGCATCGCGCACTCTGGTTCGGTCACAAGTCATTGCAATCCAGATCTACGGGAACACAGCCCCATGCCAAGGCTAACGGTCGCCAACCCCATGTCTGCGATAGCCACTCGAGCATATCACTCTCTCAACTATCAAATCAGTTGCATTCCTGATCGTCCCGTTACCTCCTCTGGAGTAAATCTATAGGTGACGGACACTATTTACAACAGATAAGCCCCGATGCCCCGATACCCCGCCTTGACGCTCGCCAAAAATAGATCCCTTTCGAGTCATCACAGTTGAGCTACCCCTCAGTTACTGTCATTTCCCAACACGCGAATCAGCTCCTCCAAGGGCTTCTTCTCCTTGGGCGGTGGTGGTCCGCCCTCCGGCACGCCAAACACCAATTGCGCCCGCAGCTTCCACTGCGCAGGCACCTCGAAGGTGCTCGCGACCTTATCGTCGATGAGAGGGTTGTAGTGCTGCAGGTTGGCGCCAAACCCTTCCGTCTCGAGCGCCGTCCACGCCATCAACTGATGCATGCCGCTGGTCTGTTCCGACCAGGCCTCGAAGTGTTCCGCATACGATGCGAACTTGGCCTTATGGTCGGCGACCACGGTCTGATCCTCATAGAAGAGCACCGTGCCGTAGGCGGCGCGGAAGCCGTCGATCTTGGGGGCGGTCTTCTGGTACCGCTCGGCCCCGATGCGAGTGAGCAGGGAGTCCTTGACGATGTCCCAGAGCTTGTCGTGCTCCTGTTTCAGCAGGACCAGGATACGTGTGGTCTGCGAGTTGAACGCCGAGGGGGTCTGCAGCACGATCTGATTGAGAATCGATTGGATCTTGGCGTCAGGGATGGGGGACTCGCGACGTAGGGCGTAGTAGGAGCGTCGGCCAGCAAGGGCCGCGAGGAGGGTGGAGCTGCCGGACATGGTGGTTTTCTTGTTTTGTGGACGGACAGGGAAGGGAGAGATCTGCGTGAGTACCTTTCCAGATTTCCCTGCCCGCTGCCCGCCTGCATTTATAGCGTAGTCAAGTACGGAGTACATAGCAGTAAGTGCATGCCAGCAAATGACGCGACATCGGAGACGATAGTGGAAATTTGTGGAATGGCGGGGGGCGCTGGTCGTAAACAAGCAAATACGAGGTAGGGGTTCAACTGATATAATATGATTCAATCACGGCGTTTCTACATCGTATAGCTTTATTAGTCGCCGTGCTATCGTGGTAGTTGAATTAGAATACGAATTGGTCGACCGCTTGGACCAGCCAGGTAGCTGCATTGGCCAATGATCTCCACCTTCACGGATGTTCGGTCGGGAGAGTTGGAGCAGGAGCAGAAACTGGAGCCTGGAGCTATACAAGCATCCACTAGCAAGGACAAACCGTATACCCGCCAGCTTTCAAGCATGATGTCACCCGCACCCCAGTACGGAGTACCCCAAGAACCTTTTAACAGACCTGCCCCTTATATACAAACCTACCACCTACCTACCTACCTACCTACCTACCTACCTACCTACTCACCTACTGACCATAAAACTTACCACCGACAATCCTCCCCTCACGCCATCGTCGGCTGCCCCTCCACAAACCCCTTCAAATCCTCCACCCAGCACCGGAAATTCTCCTCCAACCGGGCCCCAAACATCCACTTGACCACATACGCCAGGTACCCGTCCTGGACCTCCCAATTCGTCACCTCCGTCACCACGCGCGTATTTGCGGAAGAGTCATCCACGACCTCCCGCTCCACAAGCTCGTGCACCCGCTCCGCCGACAGCAGCGCGGCCATCACCCGGCCTTGGAAGGTGGTGTCGTTCGCCCAGGTGATTCTTGCGCGGCGGGTGGGAGGGGTTGCCGGTGCCGGTGCCGGTGCTGGTGCTGTAGTGGCTGTAGAAGTAGTGGCTGTTGCTGTAGCTGTAGCCGTAACCGTAGAGCCCGCATCCCCCCGCTCCCCCTCCCCTGGGGAACTCGAAGCAGGCGGGAAACACTCCGTCACCAGCAGCCCGACATGATTATCGACGCGCCGGAGCGACTGCGGCGCCGTGGGCGCGGCGGCGGGGTGCATGTTCACGTGGAAGGTCATGCGGGTGCCGTTTTGGAGTGTAGCTGCTGCTGCTGCACCAGCAGCAGCAGGTGGCTCTTGGGAGGAGTCGGTGGGAGGACTCGTTGCTGGCGCGGGGGTGGGCGTGGGCGTGGTGTTAGGAAGGCGGGGAGAAGGAGCAGGCTGCTCGCGGATCGTCACGGCGGGCACGAAGCGGTTCCATTCGGGCCAGGTGGTGGTGTCGGTCAGGGCGGACCAGACGGCGTCGAGGGAGGCGTGGATTTGGATGGAGCTGGTGAGGTGGAGGATTGGGGCGGAGGAGGAGGAGGAGGACATTTTTGTGGTGGTTGTTGATGAGGAGAGAAGAAGGGGAGATGGGTTATGTCGTAAGGTTATGTATGTTTCGTTGAGGTTATTCGACTGAGCTCAGTAGATGAGCGTTGATTCGTTAGTGCTGGGGTATAAAGTGTTGAACGGACTGTTGATGCTACGTAGGCATATGGGGGCAGAATCCTAAGCACTAAGTTAACTCCACACCGCCAAGCTAGCTAGCTAGCTAGCTACACTCACCGCCCGATCGACAACGGCCTCCCCCGACTCCCGAGGCTCCCCGGCCGGGTAAATTCAATTCAAGCCTGTCCGCCAAGCTCTCTCTCCCCCTCCGAGCAACGGAGTTAAAGTTTACGGAAGAGTATGGAGTATGAACTTGGAAGTATAAAGTATAGCCCCGTCGTCGATCCTCAACCATTCTCAATTGGGCCGGCTCACCCCCAAGATACAGCACAGCACAGCACTAGTACATCAATTTCTCTTCGATTATGGGGAAGAAATAGGTCACTCGAAATCTAGACCCTGCGGATCATAATTAAACGGTGTTACGGGATGGACTGGACTGGACTGGACTGGACTGTCGGCTACCTACATACATACAAACATACATGCTGTACTCCGTACTGCGTATGTACTGTACATCAAAAGGCAGGGGATGGTGTTTTGGGCCCTTGCATTAGCGGGAAACTCTCTTCAGCCAAGTTGGAGTGGAAATTTAGGTGGGAGATGAAGGTAAGTTAGGGGGTTGAGTGGGCTTTTGCTGGTATGTTTTGAGGATATGGGTTGGTTTCTTTTTCTGTTTGGGAGTGGGCGGGGGATGGTTACTGAAGTAAATAGGGTGGGGAGTATCTGCATTTCATGCAATTTATCTGGGGTTGAAGCCAAATGGAGCCTGTCGACCATCTGCGAGAGGTTAGATGACTTGACAGAATTCAAGCGAAGAACCTCTGCTATCCTGTCTTAATTACGACAGGGTGATGTGTCTCTATGCCCGAAGGGACAGAGTTACCGGGCATGAGGACACCGAGAACTCCTCGGGATTCGTGGACGACACCGGTCAGAACGACGGCTCTAGCTGATCCAATGCACATCTACCGTAAAGCACCTAAGGCTTTTGTTCCACTTCCACTATCCAACCCCGAACCCCAACATTAGAGACATAAGTCTAGACCTCACCACTCACGTCCACTCGCAGCACATTGACCAAACCACCCCCCAACTCCACCAGAACAAAAGGTATCATCGAAAGAAACCAAACTCCATTCCACAACAACTCCCCCAAAAGACCAACGACACATCACACCCCAATCACCGGATCACGCCCATCGAACCGCACGGACTTGCGCCGCTCCTCCGCCGCGAACGAATCCCACCGCAGCTCCTGCACGACCTGGATCCCATGCGTCGCGTCCACGGCCTGCGGATGCTGCGGATCCCCCAGACTCAGACTCTCCATCGAGAACGTGCCCGCGACACTGGTGACGTAGCTCGTGCTGGACGGCGCGAAGGGGTTGCCGTGCCCGTGCCCGGGCCCGTGCCCGTGGCTGAGGATGCTGACGCCGCCGCTGGGGCGGGAGGGTTTCTCGCGCGGGTGGTAGGAGCGCGCGGCGCGGGAGGGCATCAGGCGCGGGAAGAAGCGGATGATGAAGGGGCGCAGCGGCGGCAGGCAGGCGCAGATGATGGCGACGTTGCATTCGATGAAGGACCATGTGGCGGCGAGGCCGTTGCCCTCTTTTCCACAGAAGTTAGTGGCTTCAAAACTTCCGTCACGTAGTAGGCAATCTGATTCTTGAAGAACGAGACAGAGAAGGCAGCACTACTATACCTGTAAAGTCCGCTGAACGAATGAGTTTGACGATCGTCGTGAGCCGGATGACGCTCATCGCGCATACACTATGACTAGGTATTAGTGGTTGTGACAAACCAATAGAGAAAGTGGTAGGTAAGGGCCAGACGAACAAAAATCCCAGGGCGAAGATCAGGATCAGTGCGATCTTCTGCCGTTTGGCGATCTGCAGCTTGGCCAGCACGGGCATCGGCAAGATGACCAGAAGCAAGTCGGTCGAGATCTGGAATCCGGCGTTCAGGCACCATACGACGTCCTCCGGGAGACAGGTCCGAGGCAGCGACGTGTCCCAGAAGGACCGGACCGGGATGCAGAAGAGAATCGCACTGAACACCATCCACATCCCCGTGGCAATCACAAAGAATAAGGTGACGGCCAGAATGATCTGGTAGTACTTCGTGGGGAAGAGACGTTTGTAGAGGAATATCAACGACAGTTTGGTCAGAGTCAAACTGAGGTTGTAGAGCGGAATCGTGATGTACAGAGCCTATGTAGCCATGCCAGTTAGATTGCGTCCATGAAGTTGATACCCAATTGTTGGGTTCACGCGTGTGGGTGTGGGTTACCCTGAGTTGATTGCGTATAGTGTTTGGACTGAGGAATTCCTGGTTCTCGGCTAAGCCATTGCGGACCTCTGCATCAATATTAGTATCTGATCTTCCAGTGAAACAGCCGATGGCACAGCCTGTACCAATCATCAAGAAAGCGAAGAACCCGATGTCTACCGCCTGTGCTTCACATTAGCTCAGATATCTGGTGCAAGATGCCACAGGGACGAACCAGCGAAAGAACGATCAGCAGGTCATCCAGGCCAGGCGTTCGAACCATATGCAATCGCGTGTACAGACGCAGCGCGACCACCAAGCACGCCAAGGAGAGGAAGGTGACCGCAATGGGCACAGCATACATGGTGTCGCCTGATGATCGCGATCACTGCGAGTGCCAGCATAGAGTCTCCTTGTTGTCTCCTGTGGCAGTCGGTGCGTTGTCGTGCGTTGGATGTAGCCGTGTGTGGCCGTGTGGGAATAGGTACAGTAGTTGAAGAAGCCAAGATTGAAACATTTTAACGGTGGCGAGCTCCCACAGTAACGCGGGGAGAATGTGCATGTAACAACCATATTCACTTGCGTCAAGGGCAGCGGGGAAGCTCAAAAAAGTGCAGTGAATAGTAGCTCATTCCGCTTGATGTTACCCATGGTTCGGCGGGCGGTCTTCGCCGGAATCGCCCAGTCCGGCCGAATTGATTCTTTTGAGTTGGTAGCTGCAACTTACTAAGAAGCTTCTGTTTGCTCAAAGATAAGAGCGGAGCAACGTGGAACAACCAATTGTCAGCAGGCATATTCCATTATTTGTTTGGCATGTACATAATTTTTCATCATCACACATGGGAAGTGTAGGAACAACGCGGAGACAGAGCTTATACAAAGGTCCAGGAAAAATTCCAGTTAGAAAGATGCTATACATCTTGACCTTGCATTCGGGTCAGGGGGCTTGTGCAATTGCCCCTTCCTTCCCAGCCCAGAACTGTACAATGTGGTCACCATGGTATGTCGTCCTTCAATCCAAAAAAAAACTAGAAAATCACAAACCAGCCTTATGAGCCGCACGCTAAGCAATATTCAAAAATGCAACAAGGAAATGATTTACAGGCGAGCCTTGAGGCTGGACTCGAGGCGGCGCTCAACGGCAGCCATGTACTCGCGGGTGGTGACCCAGGCCTCACGCTCCTTGCGGCCACAGGCCAGAGCCAAGTCCTTGGTCATGATACCCTCCTCGTTGACAACGTCAATGCAAGCCTTCTCAAGCGCCTCAGCGAAGGCCACAACATCGGGGGTCTCGTCGACCTTGCCACGCTGGATCAGACCACGGGTCCAGGCGAAGATAGAGGCAATGGGGTTGGTGGAGGTCTCACGGCCCTTCTGGTGCTCGCGGTAGTGACGAGTCACGGTACCGTGGGCAGCCTCGGACTCGAAAGCCTCACCGGTAGGGGTGGCCAGAGTGGAGGTCATCAGACCGAGGGAGCCGAAGCCCTGAGCGACAATGTCAGACTGAACATCACCGTCGTAGTCTGGAGAGCTGATTAGTACATGTAACGTCCGTCGAATTGAAATCCGAAGAACTCACTCTTGAGGGCCATGACGAAGCCACCCTCGCTCTTGATCATCTGGGCGACCATGTCGTCAATGAGACGGTGCTCGTACCAGATCTTCTTGGCCTCGAAGTCCTTCTGGTAGGTAGCCTCGTAGATCTCCTGGAAGATGTCCTTGAAGCGACCATCGTACTTCTTCAGGATGGTGTTCTTGGTGCTCATGTACAGAGGAAGACCCTTGAGCAGGGCCATCTGGAAACTGGCATGGGCGAATCCGCGGATGGACTCATCAGTGTTGTACTGAGTCTGGGCAATGCCACCACCCTGGAAGTCGTAGACGTTGATGGTCTCAGCCTCACCGCCGGCAGGGGTGTAGACGAGCTCGAGCTTTCCGGGGCCGGGAATGACGCGGTCGGTGGCACGGTACTGGTCACCGAAAGCGTGGCGGCCAATGATGATGGGCTTGGTCCATCCGGGGACAAGACGGGGGATGGCGGGGATGATGATGGGCTCACGGAAGACGGTACCGCCGCTGAGGAAGGGTTAGTACGAGATCAGGAATGGGCCTGTTTGTGACTAAGAACTTACAGGATGTTACGGATGGTGCCGTTGGGGGACAGCCACACTGCAGGACAAGGTTCGTTAGCGAGACCAGTTCCGAAGTCCCAAGTGGTACAATCACAACATACTCTTCTTCAGCTTGAACTCCTCAACACGGGCCTCATCGGGAGTGATGGTAGCGCACTTGACACCAACACCATACTTCTTGATGGCCTCAGCGGCCTCGACGGTGACCTTGTCGTCGGTCTGATCACGGTACTCAAGACCCTGCAAGAAGTGTCAGTCGCCGGTGACCGGTTATAGCAGGGCTGAGTCGGGTGAAAGCGCTTACAAGATCGTAGTACTTGAGGTCGATGTCAAGGTAACTAGACACACATGTCTCAATTGGACTGTCTCATACTTCCGGATCGGAACGAATTGGCACTTACGGCAGGATCAACTATAGAAGCGGGTCCTAGTTAGCATGCAGTTCCGGGAGATCACGGGTAAGAGCATTGCCCCGGAGGGCCCAGCCGAGGCAGACTCACCTTCTCTCTGATCTCCTTCCAGATGATACGGGTCATCTAGGAACACTATTAGCACATGTCAAGAAACATACAATCCAGAACTCTTCAGAGCTCTGAATTGTCGGAGAGATTGGTCCTTGGCCGCAGGGGAGAATGCAGCCGCGGCTATGCTGCCCCGCGTTTTCAGGTGCGCCTTGTCGTCATGGCGCGCCTGTCTCCGACGCAGAGGCACCACAGCTGACTATAAAGCTTTGCAATGATCCCCATGCCAGTCCTACCAGACCGGAACAACATACCTCATCACCGTCGAGCTCTACGACGGGGTTCTTGACCTTGATCTTGGTGAATTCGGTAGCCATGGTGCGGGATTGAGTCAAATTGATGGAGGAAAGACCGGACCAGCGGGGAGAAGCAGTAGTAGAGACACGGGGAGAGACAGATGCGATAGATCTAAGAGAGCGGGCAGAGGCAAGAGAGGAAGAAGGAGAAGAAGTAGGAGAAGAAAAGGAAGAGGTAGAAGAAAGTAAGCGACGAGGGGCCGACAGAGGAGGGGCAGCGACGGCGGCGGCGATGGGACGGCGCGCCAAAGCGGAAGTGAATCGGATAGACGACATCGCAGTTAATTGTTCCGAATATCTGGGGAGGAAAGGGGGGGGGAAAGAGGGAGGAACCGGGGAAACTGCCCACACGGATTAGCAATTCGGTAACGGTAGGAGGCACAATTGGAGGAAACTAGGGTAAAGGAATTCGCGAGAGTACCCGAGGGATAAGGATAGTTGAGGAAGAGTAGGGAGGAATAGAGCTCGGATGGAAGGAGGGCGGTGGTGGGCAGTGGGAACTTCGGAAGCTGCCGTTAAGCCGGAGCTTCTTCTTCTTCTGCACTGGCAACTTGCTGTGCAAGTAAACTTGCTTCTGCACTGCACTTACCAAGGTCACTGGCTCACTGATCTCACTGAATATCTACTACGGAGCAGAACGGAGGCTGAACCCGGCAAATGGTTTGAAGGATATCCCAAGAAATGGAAGAGAGAAGAACAGGATGGTCAGGAGGGGATTTAAGAAAAGAGTGCGATGGCACAGGCAAACCAACAGCTCTTATCCCAGCAGGAAAAACCCTTTTGCCCTTCCCCGGCATCTGGTGACTGTGACTGTTCAGTCATTCGTTTCTCCATTATTTCCCTTTCCGCCCACCGTTGATTACCTTCCCTGGCTATCGCCGAAGCCGGACTCTGGGCAAACTTCCCCGGAAGAAAGAGAGAGGGAGGGACTCAGAGAGGGAGAGGGTATGAGTCGTCGCATCATATGCGCTTCATGGGTCTCGGCAATACTACCATGATTTTCCACCTCTCCCTAACCTAATCTGTTTCCTGCTTCTACTGCTTGACAGACAGGAGAAGAAGTGTCTGATTCGAGCTACTTAGTACTCGCTCATATCCTCTCCCTTGTTGAAGGAGACTTACAAGGGTACTATTGAGATCCCGTTACATCTTTCAATCGACAACTAGAACCCCAATGTACAGTACGGTTATCCTCTTCCGCCCAGCCGATCTTAACCGCTTGCTTTTTTCCCGCGGTTACTCATCTAGCCAGTCTTCCCCCCCCTCCCTACAACGGAGAAATCTCCGCCCGGGTCTTTAACCACCGAAATCGCTGCTTAGCCGGACTTGGCCTGCCACTCCCCGGCTCAAAGCTGATTCATCCATCCCTCACCCGCCTCCGGATTCGGTAGTATTCATACGTGCTCCAGGCTCGGCTAGATGCTACCCGGACAAGATCATCTTCAGAGCCGCAGTAGAAATGACACCTCTCCACTTGGTCCGATTCTACGAATATGATAATATAATGATCTCGTACTTTAAGTGCTTCATATCCACATTCACATCCATTCTATTATGTTGAAGATGGCGTAGTATATTCTCTAGCCTTCTAGCTGAGGGACGTCGGCCCTGATGAATGAGCCACGCTTTTGATGTTGAAATAATAGATCCCTCCAATGCTCCTGCGCCCGTCGTAGGTGTAAATTTATCATCCAAAATCATGAATATCAAGAAGATAACAGAAAAAGAAATCTATACAGAGACCGCAATTCCGATCCTGAAGTGGGTCTATCGCTCATTCCAACGTTCCGTCTAGAAGAGACCGTCAATCTCCCCAGTCTCGGGATCGATATCCACATTCAAGTAGCCAGGGGCTGTCGGCAGACCCGGGATGGTCTGAATGTCTGCTGCAAGGGCATACCTAAAAATCACTCAGTGGGTGGCCCACATAACCGCGCAACTAAACAGAGGGGAACTTACAGATATCCACCACCAACCGCCAATCGAACGTCACGAATGGGGACGGTGAAGCCAGTCGGGGCACCCTTGAGAGCTGGGTCGTGACTGAGCGAGTACTGCGTCTTCGCAATGCAAATGGGGAGGTTGCCAAACCCTTGGGCAGTGTACGTGTCGACCTTCTTCTGAGCCAGCTCGCTGAACTCGACCTTCTCCGCGCCATACATAGCCTTACCGATCCGCTCGATCCGCTCCTGGATGGTGCCGTCCAAGTCATAAAGGAGCTTGAAGTCCTTGGGCTTAGAGCTAGACGCGAGGACGCTCTTGGCGAGATCCACCGCACCGGCTCCGCCCTCAGCCCAGTGGTTGGCGGGGACCGCGTCCTCCGCTCCTGCCGCAATGGCCTCTTCGCGAATGACAGCAATCTCGGCCTCCGTGTCGGTCTCAAAGCGGTTGATCGCAACCACGATGGGCACACCGTACTGACGGGCGTTCTCAATGTGCTTCTTCAAGTTGATGCAACCCTTGCGCAAGATATCAACGTTCTCAGTGCGGTAAACCTCAGGCAAAGCAGCGCCAGGGGTGATCTCAGGGCCGCCACCGTGAACCTTCAAGGCACGAACGGTAGCCACAATGACCACGGTGTCGGGGGACAGACCGGAGGACCGGCACTTGATGTTGAAGAAGCGCTCACCGCCCATCGTGAAATCGAAGCCAGCCTCGGTGACGACGAAGCCAGTGCGAGCATCATGGTCCTCATCCGGCTCGGTACCCGCAAGCTTCAAGGCCAATTTATCGGCGATGACAGAGCTGGCGCCAATGCTGATGTTGGCAAAGGGGCCGGCGTGAACCAGGACAGGGGTTCCCTCCAAGCTCTGCATAAGGTTGGGCTTGATGGCGTCCTTCATAAGAGCTGCGAGAGCTCCACCTGCACCAATGTCGTCGCAAGTGACGGGGTCGCCGTTGCGCGAGGTGGCAACGACCATACGTCCCAGTCTTTCACGCATGTCTTCGAGACTGTTGCTCAGCGCAAGAATCGCCATACACTCACTGGCAACTGAGATGTCGAAACCAGTTTCGCGTGTAAGACCACGCTCAGTGGGAGCCTGCCCAATGGTGATTCCGCGCAAATGACGGTCGTTGACATCCAGAACACGGCGCCAGGTGATAGTCTCAGGGTCGATATCAAGGCGAGCAAAGCGGTGGATCTCTTCCTCGGTGAGTTCGTCCGGGTTGGTCTTGGTGATACCCAACTTCTTAAGTCTCCGGTACATTATGGGCTGGAACTCGCGCTTGCCCTTCTTGGCAGGTACCAGGCGCTTGTAGAGGGCGCCGTCCTTCTGGGTGGCCTCATGAAACATACGAGTTTCGATAGCGGCAGCAAGAAGATTGTTAGCGGCAGTGATAGCGTGGATATCGCCAGTCAAGTGCAGGTTGAACTCATCCATCGGGATAACCTGACTGTAACCTCCGCCAGCAGCTCCACCCTTGATCCCGAATGTAGGGCCCTGGCTGGGCTGTCGCACGTTGGCGAACACAATGCGGTTCAAGTGGGCACCAAGAGCCTGGGACAGACCCAGGGTGGTAGTCGACTTACCCTCACCTAGAGGAGTGGGGGTGATACCGCAAACCAGAATGTACCGACCATCGCGACGGTGAGACAGGCGGTCCAGAACGGAGAGACTGACCTTGGCCTTAGTGTGACCGTAGGGTTCGAGCTCATGGGGAGCAATGCCAATCTCCTCGGCGAGCTGAGTGATCTGTTTAGGATACTGCGCACGAGAAATGGCGATGTCGGAGGGCACAGGACTGGCCAACTTGATGGGAAGGGGAGTAATGTGTCTATCCTTCTGCTTCTCGAAATAGGCCTTAGCCCCAGTCACCACGTTCTCCAGCAGCATGGCCACAGTCATGGGTCCAACACCACCGGGGACGGGAGTTATCTGAGAGGCAACCTGGACAGCGGACTCATAATCGACATCTCCAACAAGTCGCTGACCGGACTTGCGAGTAGCATCGGCCTTGTAGTTGATACCAACATCGATGACGACGGCGCCGGGCTTGAGCCACTCTCCCTTGACAAATTCAGTCTGTCCAATGGCGGCAACAACAATATCGGCAGTCTTCACAATTCTAGCGATATCGGGGGTCTTCGAGTGGCACAGGGTGACGGTCGCATCAGCGTTTTTCAGCAAGTAGCTGACAGGGCTTCCAACAATATCACTGCGACCAAGGACCACAGCTTCCTTACCAGCAGGGTCGATACCGCTCTCCTGCAGAAGCTTCATGACAGCCTTCGGCGTGCAGGGGAGGAAGAGAGGCCGGCCACCTCGCTTGGCCAGTTCTCCAATGTTGATAGCACCAAATCCGTCGACATCCTTCTCGTCCGCGACAGCGGAAGTAATAGTGTGCTCGGACAAGTGCTTGGGGAGGGGCAGTTGGACCAGAATACCGTGTACCGAGGGGTCATTGTTGGCTTTGGTGATCTCTTGCAGAACTTCAGGCTGTGTAACAGATTCGGGGAAATTGATGATCTTGCATAGGATGTTTGTCTGGTACGAGGTGTTCCGTTAGCATAAGGATAAGTTGAGTCGTAGGAGCAGGGTAGCATATACCTCCTCGGCAGCCTTCAACTTCATGCGCACATAAGTGCCTGAGGCTATGCGTTAGCGTCCGCGACTCTCCACCACTAATCCAAGATAATAAAAAAGAGAAAACCTACTGGAATCCGATCGGTTGCCCACTGGAAGATTTCAAGCCAGGTCAGTACTCGAGTGATCACGGTGCGGAGAGATTATGAGGGGCTATGACGCACCCTGGAAGATAACCAGACTAGGCTTGAACCTGGGGTTGGATTCCTGGATCTGGCGGATTTCAGTCTTGAGTCCCTCGCGAATGTTCTTGGCAATCTGGGTGCCATCAATCTTGGTAGCTGCCATGGCTGCTGGTCGGGTGCTCGAGAAGGTACGTCGGGAAGAGGAGGAGGAGGGGGTGGAGACGAGCCTCGGGAAACCTAGCACGGCGCGATGAGCAGACGAGGAGGCACAGCGAAGATAAGACCTAGCCCCGCGTCTAGAGAAGAGCAGTCGTGGATAGAGGGATGGTAGGGGGGGGGAATGAAGCTGAATCGGAAAAAGAGTATAAGAGCGCTCAGCGTTGACAACAGTAGCAGCACAGCGGGGTAAACTCGCCGAAGCCGAACGGGCGGGGGGAAACGGCATTGGGTGACTGGGCTGGGTTCGAGTCACAGCTCTCGGCCACTGCAGCTTTCCTCGGCCAGCTCAGATGCAGATAGGGAAAAGGTTGAACACCACCGATAAACTCCTGGAATAATCGAATCAGGCAGCCCAAGACTCCGTAGAATGCCTAAAAAATCAAAGACTGTGATGAAGCAGGCTCTAAACTGCCAGTCAAGCAAAGCAACTATTCTAAGAAAATCCTTTTCCCAACACAATCCACCCTCGAGTTTGCTGTCTCGACACGACACTCTTTGCTCTGTTCTTTCTGCCTTTGTTTTCCATGGGAAAGTTTCCCCGATGAATGCCGCCGGAGCCTCAGGCTGACGCTAGAGTGACAATGAGGTTTCTTCCTTAGGCTTAGTGCACGTAGTCTAGACCAGGAGGGGTATGGGCTGTCTTTGATCACGTGATATTTGAGCTAAGCCCAATTCGAAAGCGGCTCTCAGGGCTGCGCACCTCACGTGAGAGAGTAGTCAGCAATACCGGAACTACTGATCTCCCGGTACGGTCAGCGTGTGACAAAACAGGCTCAATCAGGCAACTCTTGGCGCGCGAGCCCGGACTGTGCGATGAAATTCAAACTAGTCCTGACGACGCCGACGAAGTGAGCCCGCCAGCACCCCGCAAGGATTTCCGCCTCATCACGCAGGTATTATACGACTCCCGGTCACAGACGCCCTCAGCTGTGATCCATCGCTCTTTTTCTACCGTCGCCTTTCCCCAGATTCATCGCGTGGTCGGCCCAAGATGAGGCCTATTTTGCTCGCGGGCCATGTGCGTTTTGCCATCCTCCTCCCTCCCAGCTCGAAGACTCTTATCTGTCGCCTGCAAAAACACTTGACCTTGCCGATCATGAAAAAGGATGGGGAATATGGTAGTCGCTGACATTTTTCACTCTTGCAGGAACGTGCCCTGACTCAGATCAAGTTCAACAGCGATGGCGATCTTCTGTTCTCCGTGTCGAAGGATAAAATTGTGTGCGCTTGGTGGTCGGCCAACGGCGAGAGACTCGGTACCTACAACGGACACCAGGGTGCCATCTGGACGGTCGATGTGAGCCCCAACACGGTTCTCCTGGCGACGGGCTCGGCAGACAACACCGTGCGACTATGGAACGTCAAGACCGGCGAGTGCGTGAAGGTGTGGGATTTCCCTACGGCCGTGAAGCGGGTCGAGTTCAGCCCCGACGGAAGCAGACTTTTGGCCGTGACGGAGAAGCGTATGGGTTTCTTGGGTACCATCGCCGTCCTCGATATCAGCTACGGCGAGAACTTGGAGGACCAGGCCGATGAGCCCAGCTTGCGGATCACCTGCACGGAGAGCAAGGCTACCGTTGCGGGCTGGAGTTATCTCGGCAAGTACATCATTGCTGGTCACGAAGACGGCAGTGTCAGCCAGTACGACGAGAAGGTGCGCAGACAGACTCTTGAAAATTCCCTGGCAACAAATCGGGGCAAATGAGTTGCTAACACGGCATGGGGGAACACAGACCGGTGAGCAGCTGGAGAACGTCCAGGCCCACGAGTTCGACCACCAGATCAACGACATCCAATTCTCTCAAGACCGCACCCACTTCATCACCGCCTCCAAGGACAAGTCTGCCAAGGTAAGTGTCCTTTTGCCCTATCCATTTTCTCCCCATGACACGTGCAAGCTTGTTAACACGCGGTTGCCAGCTCATCTCCTCTCGCAACCTCGCCATCCTCAAGACCTACCCCGCCGATACTCCCTTGAACAGCGCCACGATCACGCCCAAGAAGGATTACGTTATTCTGGGTGGTGGTCAGGCCGCCATGGATGTCACCACCACCTCCGCCCGCCAGGGTAAATTCGAGGCTCGCTTCTACCACAAGGTCTTCGAGGACGAGATCGGCCGTGTCAGAGGTCACTTCGGTCCCCTCAACACCGTCGACGTCCACCCCGCCGGTACTGCCTACGCGTCCGGAGGAGAGGACGGTTACGTTCGTGTGCATCACTTCGACAAGCCTTACTTCGACTTCATGTACGAGGTCGAGCGGGAGCAGCTGCGGAAGTAGAGAAGAGGAGACGGAGAGGCGATTTTGACGTTCGGAATGCATCTTTTTTAAAACCAGTTACGCATCCTTTGTATGTGTCATGAGGCGAAGTTTCATCTTTTCTTTCACTATACTCCCCCAAAAGTAGAAAGGCAAGACCCGGTACGGCGGCGGGTACGAGAAAAGACCTCGAGGCGATTCAGGGCATGAGTTATATTTCATTTGTTCCATGATACATTCGGAGTTGGTACCATTTCCTATTTCTGGTCGCTATTGTGTGTCCTAATAAAAAGAACCCTTATTTGCTTTACTGTTTTGTCACACCCCTATGATTCCAACTTCGCTTCCTCATAATCTTTCTTGTCTTGCTCATGAACATATCATTTGAATTTCCGAGGTCGATTTGCTAGGCAACATTTTTCTATCGCGCCCGAAAAAATGCATAAAACCAGGAAGTATCAATATCCACCAGGCGGAATCACAGGTTTTGTATGATTCGGAAAAGTCTTTGTTCTGGATGACAAAATAAAAACGGACTCCGTCTTGAATACCGGGCCAGCGCTCTTCTGACCAGCAGATAAACAAAGGAGAAAAAATGGGTAAAAAAAAATCATGAGATCTCATTGGAGAAGAAAAAGGTGCGTTAGACGTGACATCCGAAGAAAAAGTGCGAAATTGATGGAGGAAACCCGAGACGATTCGAAGCGAAAAGAAAAGGCCGATTAAGGAGAGAGAAGATGAAATTGAATCAAAGAAACTTCATGCAAAACTTCCCCGGAAGAAAAAGTCGCGGGCTCACCCCCGAGTCAATTTACTTTTTCTTGGGGAACTTCTCTGCTCCGATGTCCGAGCCTCGCAGCTTGACGTTGAGGACGCGCTCCATGGCACTCAGGACCTTCTGGTCGGGAGCAGCGCTGCCGCGCTCGAAGTCTTGGATGACGGTGACGGTGGTGTTGCACTTGGTGGCGAGTTCCTTCTGAGTCATCTTGTAGCCCTCGTCGGTACGGCGCTTCTTGATGGCATCGGCGACCTGGTGGCCGACGGTCTTGGGCTTGACAATGTCGTCGCTGCGGTCGACCTTGGTCAAGTGCTGGCCCTCAGGGGCACCGGAGCGTCCGGCCTAAATACATTCACCGAGTCAGAACAGGTTGCCCCTCCTTTCAAAGTTTTTGGTCTGGGTGGCGGTTGGCTGCCCAGTGCAGCGAGAGCAGAGAGAAGAACTTACAGCGTTACCAGTGGCGTACTTCTTCTCAGTTCCAATAACGAGACCCTGGCGCTGAGCGGCGTTCAGAGCACTCTTGCCCTTGACGACGGTCTCGCGGATGGCAGGGCCACCACGGTTCTTGCTTCCAATGCGCGTAACGGAGTCCCAGTCGCTCATTTTGAATATGTGTGTAGAAACTTTGGTGAGAATTGGGTTGTTGAGAGGATGGCGTTGAGCGTGCGTTCGGTGGAGAGGAGCAGGTGGCGGTAGAGAAAGATCGCGTGAGATGTGTTGTAAGGAGGGATGTTGGAGACCCGCCGAATTTATATCGCCGCCACGGAAGCTTCTCGAGCCCTTGGGATGGCGGAGTCAGAGGGGCGCTGGGCGCTAATCTCAATTCGGTTTAATCGCTGCTGACATCATGTGCCATCAAGGCTATTAACTCCGTCGTACATCGAGGCAGTGTGCATACTCGAACTATAGCCAGGTTGCGACTGTGAGTCAGTATGAGTCTTGCTCGCTTATTTGCCGTGTATTCCAGGTCCGGCTTCGTTTATATCATCCTAGGGCAATGTATTATGGTTTGATCGATACACAGGTTACGATTGAATTGTCAGCAGTTAACGCTTTGGGGTTCCATGAGGGACAACTGCATGTCAATTCCAACACATTGGCTTGTAAATTGAGTTCTGGTTTGTTGGGCCTGTAGTCTAATCTAGCGGTTATCTTCTGTACACCTGTGCCGCTTGTTCTGGCTCAGTTGATGGTTCAGATGTTGTTTCGGAGCATCACACCTTTCTACTCGCATATATATACTTCCCGCGTTCAGGTCTATTTTCAATGATTTTCACTATAAGTGAGTCGGAGAAAGGCTATCTTACGTAGAAAAGCACGAACTTCAGATGGAATCGTTCAGGTGTTTTGAAGCCCTTTAGGCCCAATCTCTATCGGGATAGCTCGAGCTGCCAGCACTCAGTCGATTACGAGTCGCTCCGTGGCTGTCGAAGACAGAGGTGCAGATGTTGTGCGCAACCTTTGCAGCGTTATACGGTATAATTAGAGAGAGGAGGGTTGGCGAGAATCCAAGAGTCAATGCACGGATGACTGTAGCTGTAGCTCTTGACACTGAGGATTCCACTTAGCTAGTATGTCTCCATATGGCTTGCAGTGTAGATTTGAGCAAGTCGACAGGGAGTAATGCGAGAATTCGCTCTTTGCTTTACTCTGCTTAGATAGTGATAGATAGCTCTGCCTGATATGTGCTCAGATAGCCAAGACAGTTCCTTGCTGAATCATACCTATGCTGATTTGAGCATAGTCTAGATCACTTGAATCATGGTACAAGTACTTGCTTATGCATAACAGGCTAGTGCCTTGATATGCAACACGGAGCGATTGAGGACTTGATACACTTGTGGAGCAAAGATTGTACGTATCTCGACAGATCAATTGAAACAGGATGAAGTTCCAAGAATAGCACATCTGAGGTGTGGCCAAGAGAAAAAGCGAGACACTGCTTCTCCCAAGTAACGGGTTGAGGAGCATGTCGGCCTGAACCTTGGCAGATGTCGGCTCTGGTCATTTCTTTCGAAGAGCAGCATCATATTGAATGAGCCCCAGGCCATAAGTGGGACTGCCGAGCACTACCTAAAGTTTGCCCCTTTCCAGCATCAAGCGACCAACCTCAAGGACCAGGTAGGTCTTGCAATACTGAAAATATAGACGGATAATAATGGTGCCTGGAATGACAAGACAAGCTAAATGTCGCGGGGCCAATCAACAACCGAAAGGGCTGAGGCCACCCCCTCTGAACGAGTGGGAGCCACTGGGTGAAAGCGGCCTCAGGTACCAAATCTGAGTAAGAAGAGGAGGGACCAACTGGAGACTGCGGCCAATGCATCCGTTATTCAGTCACTCCATTATCGTTTCGTCTGTTATTATTTGCCTCTCATCTTCAACATCCATCTTCCTGTCCACTCTTTTTTATTCCAGCGCTTGTTCTGCCTTTCGAATCGAGTCACATTCTTGATTGTTTAGTCCTGGTTTATTGTCATTAAATCACTCGAATCCGCTTCAGATAGCCTGTCATGGCATCCCAAGGCGATCTGTTCTCGGCCGTGACCAACCGGTCGCTCCGCAACGTCCGATCGGTTAGTTTGAATCTCCTCACCTGTTTGAACACCCTGCAGTCAAAATATAACCGGCATGGTACTGGGATTACTGACTCAAGAACTGTCTGTAGGAGCTTGAATTTCTAGCCGACTCCTCAGTCATCACTCGTGCACAACTCTCCTCGATCTTATCGCAACTCCCGAAAGAGAACGAGCGCAGTAGATCTTCGGTGCCCCCTCAGCAACCGCCAGTCCAGCAGCCGCAGCCAGTGGCGCCGCTGCCCATCCAGACACAACCGTCTCCTGCTCCCTATTCTCCCCCCGTCAACCAATTTGCCAATGCCTCGTTGAACGAGAAGGCGACATACCAAGCCCAGCCTCCGCCGCAGCCGTACGCCAACCCGGCCGTCCCGCCGCCTCCTGCTTATCCCCAGGCCCCGCCCGTGCTGTCTATCGCCTCGGCTCTGTATGCATACACCCCGACGGACCCCGGTGACTTGGCTCTGCAGCCGCGTGACCGTGTCCATGTTTTGGAGCACATGAACGCCGATTGTAAGGACTCTATATATCCCCGTCAATGGCGAAATTTCTAACAACTGATGTAGGGTGGCGTGGTCGTAACGAGCGCACCAACCTCGAGGGTATCTTCCCTCGCAGCTATGTCGACGTGATTGAAGAGAAGGCTGTCTCGTCTCCCCCGCCCACCAACTATGGAAACATGCCTCTGGAAGTGAGCCAAAGTGGCTCTACGCCTGATGGGGACCCCGCCAAGAAGGGCAAATTCGAGGAACACGGCAAGAAGTTTGGCAAGAAACTGGGTAACGCCGGTAAGTTTTGTCAAGGGAAAGCAGTTTTGATGCTTCTCTATCATTCTATACTCTCCTAATCCTTGGTTGCTGACGATACACTCTAGCTGTCTTCGGTGCTGGTGCGACCATTGGTTCAAACATCGTGAACAGCATCTTTTAATATTTGTTTGTCGAAGTTGGTAATTTTAGGAAAGGGCCTGAGAGAGTTTGTGGATCACCCTTGCGTGCTCTTTGCTGTTTAATCCAGTATTTTCATGGAATTGGCGTTGGTGGTTGTTTTTCTAATCCCTATCATTATACTTCGTGTGAACTTCTTGATTCGCATGCGCTCTAGTGAGACCCATTCAGAATAGCAAATAAGAGGTTCTGGAGTTCTGGATATACCCAGTATATGATCAAACAGAGAAGTTACATAACTGGACACCGTAGCTGAAGGCCCAAGAAGGATATCCCATCTTCCATGAATTGAACATCTTGTCCCCTTCTGTTAGCGTCAAGCAGTCTCAGAGTTCAAAGCTCTCAGGTGAAGACATATGCATTGCACGCGTCCGAAGAGCAATGAAAAGTACAGGAAAGGTTTACAAGAGAAGAAGGGTGGATACTCGCCGACATACCGAGAGACATCGAGTCAACTTGAACAGAAATTAGTCTCCCGCCCCGGATATCATGGCCTATGGGCTGCTGGGAACAGCCGCCAGCTTGTTAGACTACATTAGTTCGCGCTTCAGCCTCTCCTGACGGGGCTATGGACATAGCGCCTACAGGACTGGGATAGCCACACGTGGTTCCTATATCTTGAACCTATGTCTGCAACATGAGAAGCAAATTCCAGTCCGAAATTATTTTAATCGCGTACAGTGTCAGAAGCTGCTCTAGGCGATTGATTCGCATTTTCCTCAGCCATGTCATGGCAGTTGATCATATTTGCATTGCTCGCTATAACACCCAGCGTTCTAGCCACCGGGTGGGATGATTTCACAGACGATCTAGCAACAGACCTGGTGCGTATGAAGATGCCCTCCACCATGGCAACCGTATAAGTAACAGTCTCTATCCAGGCGCCGTTGATCTCCCTCTTCGGCGATCGATTGAGCAAACAATACCTCTCCGAGTCGATCAGCATCCTGGACAGCTTCATCTTCGCGGTCTCTCCACTGGGCATCCTCACGGCCGTGATCGCCGTCATCCGCGTCTGCGGGAACGCATCCCTGAAAGCCTTTGTGGGCAGGGCGCAGGAAGGGCCCGGCGAAGCAGAGAACGAACTCCTCTCCTGTGTCTCGGAGAGCACAGCCGAGCTCTTCAACGATGGAGGCGTGTCCAGAGTCCTTGGACGACCTCGAGTTCTCGAAGTGGTGGTGTGGGAGGAAGTAGACCCCCAGACCCAGCACCGCGTGCGCAGGATCGGGACCCTGCATGACGCGCTCCAGACGGGCGCCTGGGTGGCCGGGAAAGGCCGTCGGATTCTCGATGAGAAGGAATACCTTGCGGAGCTTGACATCGCGAATCTGTCCTTGAACAAGGGGATCGCAAGAAGAAGCCAGGGCTGGTTTTACGCGGCGGCCGCTCTGGGATTTGTGTTGCAAGTCGGTAAGCATGACGGTTTTCGATTCGATCAGCAACATTGAAGAAGGAGGTAGTGTTGCTAATGACATGCTCCAGGCGTGCTTATCTACTCTGCTATAACCGTGTTCCTGTTCCCGGATCAATTCGAAAAGGATGGGAATCAAGTCGTCGGTTATGCTTTCCCACTTTTCTTCATGGGGTCTATGCTACTTAGTATCGGGATGTTCTTTTGCGCTTTCATCATCGAACGCTCCTCCACGAAGTGCTATATCCGACCCACGACGCCGAGCAAGATCTACTGGTTGCAGCCGGGAGACCAAGATGTGGGAGACCAGGTGTTTGGTGCTTTCCTGGCTGTCAACGAAGGGCCGGGGGCGGAGGCCACCCAAGACATCATGTATATCAAATCGGTCCGAAGCTCTCAGAATCATGGGAAGGAACCACTGCTGGTGTTCACGGTGATTACGACTATAGTTGGCTTCGTGACTCAGTTTGTTGGCTTCCGTGGACTACATGCCTCGGTCATCCTCGCACAGGTGGGATCGACGTTCTTGATGTCGATCGTGAGGGCCTCTCTCCGGACGAAAAGGACCGGGCCAGAAGAGAACCGGTTTTCGAACCGTGAGAGACAACTGGTCTCGCACAAGAAGCAAGAGCTGGATTTCTTCGCGTTTCACCTCGAGAACATCCAAGCATTTGAGTTGGTGGCTAATCCAACAGCTGCGCTCCAGTCACATTCGTCTACACACCAGCCATCTGGTACACAAAGCCCAGCACGGATCAATGGTCCGGGTATCAGAGCTATCCAGACACGAACGCGACTAGCTCAACTCACATCTGAAGGGAGTCATGAGAGCATGGATTGGGATGATCTCCCTATCAGAAAAGTAGCTCGCAGCCTGGCAAAGACGATCACGGAGACAATGAACTTGTTTTCAGATTGGAAGCATATCAGCGAGGACATGCATAGCTTTGACCTCCTGATCCAGTCTCAAGCACCTGGTAGAAATTCTCACTCGAACTACGAAACATACTCTGTCGAGCTCAAAAGATCGGAGGACACCTTACAATGGCAGGTTGATGTGACAGTCCTCGAAGCGGTGCTGGGCCTATGGACATGGTCACTCATCAAAGCCGATAACAGATGGCTCAGGACCAAGGTCGTCCGTGCTGTAGGACTGAACGAGTCGGAGGCTTCGAAAGAGGAAACAGATCTAATGTTCCATAAATGGATTCACCGCCATACCGAGGCACATATGGTGCCTTCCAAGACTATCGCCTTTCACAATCGGCTATTTGGAATTTCTCCCGAGAAAGAAACCACCAGCAAGGATATACTGGTGGTGCAAACCAACAATAGAGTGGAGACCATGGCCGCTCAGGATGTATATATACGGTTCCTCCAAAGTGCCTTGCGAGATGTCACGGATCTCGGGGGTAGAGTAGAGGTGCGCGAAGGGTCACAGAATAAGTTTATTACATTCAGCGACCGCGTTGATCTGCTTGTGACGTGCTTCGAAGAGGCCGGGCTGGGATCGAGGGAGGACGCCTTGTTGTGCGTTATTCCAACTCTCAAGCTATTGCTGCCAGAGCTTGCTGCGGACTCAGACAGCGTTAGAACGAAGATCGAGCGATTGTTATCGGACGCAGATTGGAAAGGGGCCTTTTCTGTTGCGCGCTGGCTGTGTGAGCGTTGCGAAGGAGAGGAGCTCGAGCGTTGCGTTTTCGAGCTCGGCTATCTCTGTCAACGTGCCATAAGCCACAGTGACGTTGTAGTTCGAGAGGTGGGTCTGGATGAAGTGCGATCACTCCTCCAGTTTGACGCGAGGGCTAAGTTTTATGGAGGCCTCAGCCGGCGCTTGAATTGGATGAATTCCACCGACCATCAAGCATGGTGGTCACGATTCTCACATCAACTTGGCTGGATCGTGTGGCACATACTCAAGAACAAAGCCTCAAATCACTCAACGATCTCATCTATGGAGGCCTTTGGTGCATCTAGTGAGCTCATTCCCCCGGCGAATCTCCAGGGAAGCACGCCGCCTACCGTGCCAAATTGCACTCAGCAAGATGCAGGTCAAGCCCCCATTGATCCGGCGGACTTCACGAGAGATAGACACAGCCTTGCCCAGGAGACAATACTAGGATGGCTTACGCACGGTATGGACATCATTTTCGAGAGACAAGTGCCTGGCGAGGAAGACGGGCTATGCCTCAAATGGGCATACCAAAATTCACAGAATGCTCTCGCTCATTGGATTCTCATCAAATGGACTGAGGTCGGCCGAGAATATGGGGCCTTGATGCAGAAGGCGTTTGTGTTTGCAGCGGAGTGCAACGCGGACTTTGCTATCAAATCGCTGATACGGCAGGGCGCTGATATCAACACTCGCGAGTTTGAAGGCTACTCACCACTCATAGAAGTTGTTGGATCTGCAAGCATGGAAGCGACCCGGGCACTGCTTCTTAACGGTGCAGATGCGAATCTAAGCTCAAAGTCGAACAAGATGATACCATTGTCGATGGCTGTCATTCGAGGTGATTATCTGTTGACTGAACTACTTCTCGACTTTGGCGCGAGTCCTGATGCCAAAGATGACCTGGGCTTCAGCGCATTGCACACAGCTGTGCGCCACAACCAGCTGAGTATCACAGAATTGCTTTTGGACAAAGGCAGAGGAGATATTGAAACCGTTTGCGTAGACGGCAGGACTCCTCTAATCTACGCAGCGGCAGACAACCATGAAGGAATGGTCGAGTTGCTGCTGGCCCATGGTGCTAATACTAATGCACAAGATGATTCTGGCTCTACACCTCTGATGACAGCAATCTGGTACAATGCAAGCGAGAGAGTTGTTCGCCTGCTACTTGGCAAGAAGCCTAATCTACACCAGAAGGATGACAACGGCATGACGGTACTCGATCATGCCCGGGACAAAGGCTGTCCAGCCTTGCTGTCGCTCCTAGAAAAAGAGACCAGGGAAGACCAGAATAGTGGAAAATAGATATAGAGCGGCATGGGCGACAACTGGACACATGGTGTGGCTACATTAGTGGCTTCCTCCTAGATGAATGTGCATCCGAGCGGGGGTGCGGTACACTACACCACCCCATCTCTCTTCAATCCAAGCCATAAATACGAATCCTTCTTATTTCTGGGTTTCATCAATTGAGTGGGCATGGACTCCTCCCGACGCGCCCAAACATCGGCCAATAACATGCGCCAGGTCTCCATGCCACCCCCAGTTCAACCACACAGGCTGTCAGATACGTTCTCTAAGCGCCGACAGAAGATCACCATGCAGTAGTGTCGCTTGGTCCGGCCTCGGGGGCCTCGTCGCTACATACCTCCCCATAAATCTCTGGTCTGAAGCCGAGTTACTTAAAAGATGGCTTTACCTCTCATTCTTCGTCGACCTTTCGCAATGCGACCTTTCCTATTTTCCCTAATGCCCTAATGATCCCATAGTTGTTTCTCTGGCAGAGCAACTCATTGACCTATTCATTGCCGCAGCCGGAGGCCTAATATTGATATTCAGTTATATACCCCGCTCACCATCGAGTCTCGAGCAGCTCATATTCTGTGGAGATAGATCTGTCTTGGTAAGTTCAGCGCGTCTTCTCCTTTATCATGTGGTTTGACCCTCCATCAATAACTCTTGCTGAGAATTGCATCGTAGGTATTCTACAATCGGTCTAAGAGGCGAGAACCATGTCTGAGCAATTCGCATATCCACCCCCGCCTAGCCAAGGCTCCTTCGTTTGTACGTGTGTCCTACAGCACCTCAAACTTTCCTGACTATGCAACTAATCAACGTCAACTAGATCCCTCCAATGCACCCAGTACGCTACCCAACTCATTAGTTGAGCATTTCCTAACTCATTCATAGCAACCTACTCCCCGCCCCAGGCTTCCCTAGGCTATCCACCTCCAAATTTCAGCTTCCCTCCGCCTCCCCAGCAGCCGGCGCCTGGGCATGGCGACAACAAACCTCCCACGCCACCTATGAACGAGAAAGCCGCCTATGCTGCCGAAATTACTGGGGCATATGGCCCCAATGCAGCCAGTCGAAGCTCCTCGGATGGACCTCCGTCCGGAACAATCCTCACAAGAGCTCATACGGACATGTCACTTGGCAGCAAGCCGGGTCCGTTAGCATCTGCTAACTTCATCGGTGCCTCGTCCACTAACATGGACGATGTGGGAACCTTCAATGGTGGCAGCTACCGGATCAGCCACCGGGACACCAACAGTCTCCTGACCATCCAGCTAGCGGTGGGATGTCCATTGCAGGCCCGGCCAGGTCTGTCAGCCTGATCCTCTGCCTGGATGCTTCAAAATGGAAAGCTAACAGACCAATCTACCGTCCAGGTGTCATGATCGCAATGTCTCCCTCAATCTCTCTTAGGGGCTCCCTCTCCTTCGGCTGGATGAAAGCCCTCGCAGGCGGCCAGATTGCACGATCGACATATACCGGGCCCGGCGAGCTTCTGCTCGCGCCGTCCGTCCTGGGTGATATTACCGCGCTACGGATCGACGGCCAACAAGAGTGGACAGTCGGACGGGATGCGTTCCTCGCTTCGACGAGTGGTGTCAAAACCGAGTACAAAACCCAGGGCATCATGAAGGGCGTGTTCTCCGGCGAGGGGTTCTTCGTCTACAGAATATTCGGCGCCGGCATCCTTTGGATGCAAAGCTTCGGCGCCATTGTGAAGAAAGAGGTATGTCTGTTCATTAACTTCTGGCTCTCCTTCCCTTCCCTACCCCAGCCTCTCTTTTTTTCTCCCTCCCTCTCTCTCCTTCCCTCGCAGTCAAACCTCTAACCCGCAATGCTCTTTTCTCAGCTCGCCGAGGACGAAATCTACTTCGTGAACAACGGCCATCTGGTAGCATGGAACTGCAAATACAAAATTGAGCGGGTCGCCTCCGGCGGCATCATCTCCAACTGGAGTGCCGGAGAGGGGCTGGCTTGTCGGTTCACCGGCCCTGGATCGGTATACATGCAGACCCGCAATGTGTCTTCGTTCCTCGCACATATCAGTGGGGGTAAATCCAGCAGCTGAAGCATACGTTGCACGTTGGATCGAGTGGCTAGCGTTGTGTTGTTTTCAATTCCCCTGCCTCGTGTCTCTTTTTCTCACTTGTTATATACCTTCTTTTGCTTTTGATTCTATCTATTATTGTGACTGGCACCTGACTGGCACCTGTGCTGCATGACCAGATTGGGCTTGGCTTATTTCAGCGGCTTGTGGTATTGATTTTGAGTTTTCCTGGAGAGATTCTTTGTTGAGCGATTTGGAGTATCCTCTCATTTACGCAGAACTGGCGGAGTGTCTACACTGCAGTATGTAGGCCATACCATTTTTTATCCACCTATCATGCCGCTAAAAGAAACTGTCCTCAATTTCTCAACTCTCCCCATACTTTTCTCTACAGTCCCTCAAACCCTCAATCACCCCTACCACAGCAACAGTCATAAGAGAGACTTAACGGTCATTCCACATAACCCCCCGTCATCCACATACCGACATGATCCAAAAGAGAGAGAAAAGGTAAGGAAGAAGGAAGCTCTTTGTATACGAGAGGAAGATGAAAAATTTGGGGGGGAAAGTGTGGGAATATGAAATCATAACCGTGTCCATCACGAAGTAAAGAGAGGCAAGCAAGAAAAGTAAAAGCTGGGGGGAAAAAAAGTAAAGAAGGGGACCATGCCACACAAAAACCCATAAATTCCATAGAAGAGAAATGCACAAAACCCTCTTTCTTGCTCGTTTCTCCGCCCCTTTTCCTTTTGTTGTCCCCTCCGCACCTCTTTGGGGTGGGGGAAAAATAAATTAAATTCCCTGCTTTTGAATCGCTTAACCCTGTCTCTTTCTGCGGCCGACCTGTCCACGGAAACCGGTCTTGATGGCGGCGACGGAACGACGGGAACCGCAAGAGTTACAGGTGACGAAGTATAGACGGTTCTCACCCTTGTTGAGCTCGGTGTCGGGACTGCGGCAGGTCTTGCAGGTGACGTATTCGACTATGCAGGAGTTAGTGGCAATTCGTGAAGGTAGAAATGACAAAGTGAGTTTAAAGAGAGAGAAGGAAGGGAAAAATGGGGATGAAGACATACCAATATATCTTCTCAGGACGTTCTCGATCTGCTTCTGTTGGAAACGACCCTTGATGACCAGACGACGGGAACCGTCAACACTACCGCTGGTACCCAATTCGGCGAACAGGAACTGCATGACGTGGTCGTCGGACCGCTTCATGCGCTTGCAGATATCGGCAATGTTGGCGAAAATGGTACGACGGTTACCTTCACGGAGACACTGGGGCGGGGGGATCTTGTAGGACTTGGTGCCGCTGGACAGCAGGTCGGGGTGGTGGCTCTGGATGAGGGAGAAGAATCGGGAGACGAGGAGCGCATAGGGGATGGCTTGCGTGGCGTCGTGGGCCCAGATGCCCGTACCGGCCTCGTGGTCGCCCTCGGGGACTTCTTCCTCCTTCTCCTCGCCGGCGCCGGCAGCGGCGGTGACACCGGCCTCGGCCAGCTTGGCCTCGAAGTCGTCGGTGTCGACCTTCTTGGTCTTGGGCTTCTTCTTCTTCTTCAGGGCGGAGACGTCGAACTCGCCATCACCGGCGGGGGAGGCCTCATCGCCTTCGCCGGCTTCCGTGTCCTTGGGCTTCTTGGTCTTCTTCTTCTTCGACAGGCCCTTGAAGAGCTCGGTAACTTCGTCGACGGACTTGTCTATTTCTCGGAGAAGAGAGGATGTTAGCTTGAGGCGGTCGCGTAGATTTTTCGGGAGTTGGACAGCACAATCATCCCGGCCATGGAGGGGGGATGGATCAGGACATACCCTCAGCAGCCTCAACGGGCTTCTCGACCTGAGGGGTCTCTGTGACTTCGCCGTTGGTATCCATGATGACGTCTCCTTCACTGAATGCGACGGACTTGCGTTGCTTGGGTTCGACCTGTTAATCGGGGAACCGGACAGCCCAACAGGTTAGCGGGGCACCGAAATTAAGTGAAAGTGAACAATGAAAAAGTCCTGACAGCAAGACTCTCAGGAATAGCACTGCTCGTTGAATACCAGCACCACGTGACCGACAGGAGCTGGGGAAGAAAGAGGGTTGTTTTGATGCAGGCAAAGACGAAGGTGGTTTGGAGAGCAGCAGCAGCGGCGGGTATGAAATGGATGAAGAAAATGTGGGAGGGCAATCGGTAAAGGGAAAACGGGCTTTGTGACGTACAGTGTCCGCCATAGTGGCTCGGCGCTTATGATATTCAAAGGTTTCTCGGTCTAACGCGTCGCAGAACAGAACTGTCCGAGAATCAGAATTCGAGGGACAGGAAGATTACTTTTCGCAGAGAATGATGAGGTCGATCTTCTTAGATCTGCCGTTGAGTTGTTGCTGGTTTGGGTTGCGAGATGGCGATTCTCGTTATCGCGGGTCCTCTCACGTGACAGCCAACCGGTGACTCAAGACCGTATTTACATTACCGTACTGTCAATCGCTCGCCTCCTCAGGCCACAACAATGCTGAACTGGCTGCCTTGCTGTTACTGCCTTGCTGCCTTGCTGCCTCTCTGCCTCAGTCCCCTGATTACATCAGACCATCCCCAACCCGATTCGTCACTGAACAAGAACTACCGTCGCCGAGCTCCAAGCCTTATCCGTTGCTATCCTTCGGATACCCTTGCTGTACCTTCACATTCGACCAAAGTTGGCTCATGCTGAATTCCTTGCTCAGGCGGTAGGCAGGCCACTGCTTGATTGCGAATATTCCCGATTGACACCATCACCTACCTCTCTTAACCACTACCACCACCTCCGACGATACCAATAAACACGAACACCCACTTCATCCCCGCACCTTTCCTCGAGACTACGCAACCTGCGACCTAGTACCCTCTATACCTTGAAACCTGATCGAACAATCACCGATCCCTCCCACCGTCAAAATGTCTGCCTCGCCCTCCGCCTCCAACCCCTCCCTCACCACCTCCGCCTACATGGTCTCCTCCCGCGATCGATCCTACTCCTCCGCCTCCGACGACGACATCGCCTCTCTCCCCTCCGAAAGCACCTCCGTCTCCGACCTCGATACCCTCTCAGACTACTCCGACGCCGAGGAGGAATGGCGCGAAAGTCTGGAGCAGTTAGAGATGCTCCTGAGCATGGTGTTCGTTCCGTTCGTGGGGAAATATCTGGGCCGGAAATGCGCTTATTGGAGTAAGTTGCCTAGGAGCCCCCTCTTCACATGTCTCAGAATGAGGTGCTGATACTTTCTGCAGGTTGGACGAGATTCATGGAATGGAAGTACCCCGTTGAGGTGGTCGTAAGCAACAAGGCTGCCTTCAAGGGCGCCGGGGCTGTGGGCGCTCTCTCCCCTCTGTAAGCGACAGTGGAAACAAAGCGGAGGTTTTATATATGGGAAGGGGATCTCGCGCTGTCTATATTCGAGGGCCCATTACGTTGCAGCAACCTATCCTTGTAGTGAAAGGAGTTTCGCGATATGGTATCAGGCGAACCTTTCCCTTTTCGCGGAGCAGCCCTCAGATGCATTTTGAGGGGCTTGGTCACTTGGATATATCTTGCGCTTCAAAAATGTCCAGTGAATAGAAGATGTTCCTCTGGAACAAACTGGTCTGATCTTTGGTGTTGAGCTTATAGCATAGCATATTTGTTTGTTTTATTTAGAAAGGTATACCCCAAATATCAGCCTTACTTAGGGCTTATCCAAGTCTTCAGCATGCCCCTAGATATTCGGTCCGGCGTACTGCATAGAGTACGTCTCTCCGGTGGCATAAAAAACGGATCGAGAACATACACGAGAGACAATCCAGAACAGTGTTAGGGCGACGAGTCCACCCTCCTAGAGACGACACGCTCCACATTCTCCCTTGCCATTCGCTTCCGTTTCTCCTTCCCCTCCAAGCTCCCTAGCTGGATGCCCGCCTGGGCTAGTGCAGGCTGCGCATAGAAGCACGGATCGCTGTATCCCGGCGTGAGGAAGCGCTCCAGCGGTGTTTCATGGCGGATGTTAGTCTGATCTAGGGCGACTTTACTCTCAAAGAGCTTCAGTGAAGCAGAAACCTGGTTCTTCGAGCTAGCAGCGAATCGGACATTCGGCTGTTGCTTGGTGGTAGAAGCGTAGTCGACTTGGCGGAGCTGCTCCAGATCTGACTCGATATCATGGTGGGCAACAGCCGGGGGCTCGCAAAGAGAAACGCCGAGCTGGGCGTAGTAAGCGTGGATACGTTCTTCTGCGATGAGAGAGTCGATCCATGATGGCACGGTAGACTCCGATTGAGCGTGCTGAGTTGGGATGTTAGTGGTACGGTAGGTATCAGACGGCAGATTTCGTATAATAAAAGAGGGAGAGGAGGGAGAGCTAGAGGAAAGAGGCAAGCAAACCATTTCACTGAGTTCCTCATGAATGGCAAGATTGCGCTCGATCAATGGCGCAGGAAGTGAAGTCAAGCCTAGACCTTGAGTTGCGGTTGCCCTTCGAGCTGAAGGAGGGTCAAGTTTGTTGTCGGCCATTCTTTTGCGTTGGGTTTTATTTTCCGTGCTTTCCCTCCCATCGCTCGCTGTACCTCTTTATACCACCCCCAGACACAATGAACAAATGCATTAGCTTCTCTTCCCCTACCCCATATCCCCCAGCTGATCTAATTACGCTCAGCCAAGCACTTACTAAAGTCCCATACGAGACTATCGACGAGCTTCGAACCACCCTCCGGCCGCGGATGTATACATAGCACAGTGCAGCAAGCCATTGCATCAAGTCGACTTGATGGAACGATCCACCGATAGCCAAAGTTGATCTGTACCCTTTCAGGTAAGAAAGAGGCAAGGTTATTGTATCATACGACTCCTTCCTTTGTTGGCTTAACTCCTCCACGTGGCGAGTTCAGTCTTTCGTCCGAGGAGGATTAAGCAGCTCTTGAGCTGCGCAGCGCAGCCGAAGTCAGCTAAGAACCTGTCTCCTAAGGCTCGCAAATGCAAGGCAAGTATGTGCGTACTTCTGATACTTCTCCACTAGTGACTGAGCCAGCAACAGGGACAAACGAAATGACACTGGCATGAAGGAGGTCAGCTAGCTTAAAGCCACAATGTCCTGCGATAATGCCTCTCTACAACAGAACATTAGTACCTTGGGATGTACACACGCGGGCACATACGCGTGATCTAGCAACTTCGTTCTTCTCCGCGGAGAAGATATCCTAAGAATCAAAGATAAGCGGTAACGCACGCCCCAAAGCGGATATCCCCTCAGCTGCTTTTCGTGTTGGCTGAACTAGAAAGCGATAGCAGACCATCAAATCTGCACAGATGTCTTGGCATATGATGCCTCTTGGACTTACGGTAAGAACTAGACAGTTCTGACGGGCCTATCAGAGCCTCAGGTCATATGCTTCCTAGACTTCGAAACACTGCATGGATGGACATGCAAGCCAGGAAGGCCCCGTCCGAGTCCTTGTCCTGGTTCTCGGGTCCGGATCGGCGGCGAATTTACTTTTTCATTACCGCTGACATTTCAGCTGGTCACACACATCTGAATTGCAAATCTGGCGGTGGCTTAGATCCTTCGTTGATGACTCCGAAGCCAAAGACGTGGCTCACTGATAGTCCATATATCTGAATGATACAGGTAGGGCGACATCGTTCGATGGTTTGACACCATCAAGGCCATTGCTGGAGAAATGCAACACTCAAGATTTTACCTAAGTAATTGGTCTGATTCCTGCAAACATCCTCGAAGTGAAATAGCCAAGAAGGAAAAAGCAACGAACAAGCAACAAACGCGCACAACATCAGCCCTAAGCTCAGTTCACTGCCCAACGATTCCTTGGGTCTCAATACCTACACATGCAGCCAGACCAACTCCAGAGAGGCGTTACAGTCCCATTCAACATGCACCGGAAACTAAGACCGACAAACCAAAGACACCCCGACAGGTCGGTTCCTGCAGCCCCGCGTGTAGTTCATTTCCTCATTTTCCATAGCCTCCCTTGCAAGCGTGTTTGACCCGACTACCTGGTTAGGTCTGCTGCAGTCCGGTCCACGGTCTAGCCCCCCCAGACGTATAGTACTTCTGTCTTGATGGCTCTATCGTCCAGTCAACTCAGCAAACGAGCTCCCTCACACCCACTCCCCGGTTGTTGCCTGATGCCTGATGATTTAGTCTCTCTGCCTGCATTTCCTGCACCGCATGCCCTCCCTCCCATGCATTTACGCAGACACCTATTGAAATCCTGCTACGTTGCCCCATTCTCCTGCAGGCTGGCGTAATCTTTTAGGGGTCTGGTTTGCTTTATCACTATCCTCAGAAGACAACCTGGTCCTGTCAGGGAGGGGTAGTAGGATAGCCCTGTCGCCTTGAGGTTCCCCTGCAAGGCTCTTGGTGCCAGGGTTGCACTTCATAGCATTGTACTGAGCCCTCTGATTGAAAGTGTCACTTTATCCCGCAGTGAGGAAAACGCAATATGCTTTTTCGTGGTCATTACAGTGTCGAAATCACTGTTGAATTTACAATGTGGAGGGCTTCAAAGCCCGGGAGAGTCGACGGTACGGCTTGCTTTTCATCTAGACTGATGAAGGGAATAGGGGTAAACTGGAAGAATTCTCAACCAGATTTGTGTTGATGTATCAAGCTTAAAAGCCCAGCCCCGTTTAATAAGGTGGTAATTTAGCTTGTGACATGACCCACGGACACAATGACACCGAGTGACCCCATCCGTGCTCTCGGGGTCTGACAGGCTGCTCTCTAGGGCTACGGCTGAAAATACATCCCAGCTTAATGAACAAGTCCGGGGCTACTTACTTAGGAATGGGAGGTCATGGTAGACTGTATAGCATTGGTTAACCAATTACACTTGCCACAGGCTGGCCCCGACCTGTTCCCTTCTAGTTTACTAATTTCTTGGTCACTGTGATCTTCGCTTGATCTTGGATATTCCCAGATATTAGGAATACATGATACACTCATCTCCTCAAATAATCGTGGCAAGCATTCTCACTTCCAAATACATTCGAGCTTGGCTCCAATAAATGCAAAATCATCCCATCAATATACCAAATACAAGATATTTGAAGGTAAGAGTTGACAAAATATAGCGCACCGTCAGTATAACATCCTTCGCTGCCAAAATCCTTCCAGATCATCGCCGATGTCAATTTGTAGGCCTGTGGGCTCGCAATGCGAGCCAGAGCCTTGTCGCAGTCTGCATTCCAAGCAGCCTTCTGCATGGGTGGTAAACTCAACCTGAGTTTGCATTATCTCATTCTCAGTGAACAGACCGCCCGTGTAGGCTGTCCTAAGGTACCTTGAGAGAGGCGCATCTCTCACCGCATCGCTTGCAGGGGGTTTCCCCGACTTATCCTCTGTCTTGCTTGACAAGTCGTAGCTTGTCCGATCGTCATTTGCGTAGCCATGCGTGTCCTCATGTGTATCCCTAGCTGAAAGCTTTCTTTCCAGAGCACTCTCCGGTCTGCGTGTTGGGTTTCCAGGCTTGACACCTGCAGTGGAAATATCTCGGAAATGTTCCTGAGAAGATTGGAAGAAGTCCGACTCGGTTGCCAGAATGGCATCACACGCAGCTTCAAGGGCAGCATAGTCCACCTTGCTGGGACTTAAAGGGAAGCAGTCGTCGATGATCTCATTCTGCGCACTTGAAGTGACGAATTTAGAGTTCGATTGAGCCTGGCAAGAAGCCTGAGGGCACACTTCATCCTTGCACTCAAAATATGGCGAATTTGGCCTATCAGGCATTTCAGGCATTCCATTCCGACCATTTTCACGGGCCAATATATACTTAGATGACTCTGTCGGAGTACTCGAGTCTCTGATGACTTTCGGCAAGAATTTCTCCTGCCGATATGCGTATGAAGGCGTATTAGGATTTGCCAATGATATCTTAGCTCGAGATTCGATACCTGGATCTCTGTGCTCTTGCTGAATTGCATGTCCTCTCCCAGTCTTTTTGATCTTCTTGGACGGCATAGGCGTGGTAGTCTTGATTCGAATGGGCGATGAGGAGGACATGCGCTTGAGAAAGCCTCTTGTGAGAGACTTTCTGCTGCATTGCGAGGCTTGAGTATCATTCTTCCCCAGGCCCCAGAGGGTCTCTCTCTCCCTGAGTAGGCGATGTAAATCTTCTAGAGTCCAGAGCCTTATTCCTGTGGTGGCCTTATTGGGAGAGCGGAAATCAACCCGCAGAAGACTTTTAGTGTAGCTTTCAAGATTGGGTTCTGACGACAAGTCCAAGGCAGTACGTGGCGATCTCGTAGCATTTCGTAGCACGTTTCCACTCCTTCCATTTGTGCCGTGTTGTGACCAGTGATCATCATAACTCGAGTTTTGCATCTCGCATCTGGTAGTATCTGCTGTGCCATGGGCTGGGAGCGATTCGGAATATGTCTTAGATACGTCATTTCGAGGAATTAAGCGTTGAGGCTTTCCTGCCAGGAAGTCTTCCTCTGAGAAGCCAAGTATGGGGACTAAAGCACAGTCAAAATCTACCCATGAGAGAAGGGAAATTCGAGCGTGTCCGAGGCAAGCGTACCTCTAGATTTGATAGGTGAAGAGGTCTTTCCCTTCTTGAAGATTCCCAAGTCTGGACGATGGTTGATCTTGAATCTCATTCAGCATCATTATAGCAAGAAGAGAATGTACCAAGCAGTTTGAAAGACATGACTTACCGTCAACCGATCTTGGGCCACGTTGGGCGCATGGAACTTGTGGGCGATTGCTCGCCTGAGATGCTTTGAAAGACGTTCGAGCTTCTTCTGGACCTTGGTCTCTTTATAGTCGTATCGGTCGTCCTTGGTTTTGTGCCTCATACGGCGCTTGTATCTATTAAGCTTCTCATCGCCCGGTGCAGTAGGCTTTGTACCGGCGAGATGTGAGGGTGAGCATCCTCCGGCCGCTGGCAAGGTAGCGCTAGCATTGCTCTGGGCGAAAGCTTTGGGCTGTGCTGTTTGGGCTACGGTAGTGTAATATATCTCATTAGTATGACTTTAGTAGTAAATCGTGATGGGGAGACTCACTCGCACGAATTGAATTCTGGTCTGCAAGAAGTTTCTTGTAGAATCTCGGCGGATCTTCGTCATCTCTCAAGATCCAGTCTTCGACTCTGGCATGAATATCTTGAGGAAGAAGATGTTGCGAAGCTAGGGAAGGCATGGTCGATGCAGTTGGAGATTAGAATATGCCGGAAGCTAGGGAGAGGACAAGAAGGACTGAAAGGTGAATAGTATGTTGCTATACAATCAAGGAAGTTGGAGATTGAACAATTCTTCGAAAGTGATGAGAAGAGGATGAAGGACGAGGATTCATGGACTCACACTTGCTTCAGGATGATGTCGCTTACCCCGGAAGTTTGTGCCTTCCTAAATAGGAAAGACTATATGGCCTCCAGCCTCCCCATTCGCACTGCACTTCACTGCACTGCACCCATTAATTGTATCAACACCAAATGTCTAGACTCCTTGATGGCTACTTTTATTCTTGACCACTCCATTCTTTCTTTCACCGTCATTCAGAACACTTCTTGAACACAACCCTCACTCACTCGTCCTCTCTCTTCTAATCTGGCTTCTGCTTTTCACTTCCTTCTTCGCCTTTCTCCTTCACTTCTTCCTTCTATCCTGCTCAGCGCGCAAGGAAGCTTTCTGCTCTCTCCTCTTTCGCACTTCTCTTCTTCAAGCTTCAAGCACTTCCCATACCTCTGATCATAGTCTTGTCGAAGTCCTCAAGCCCAACATATCTCTCACACCCATAGAATCCCATCAACACCCTGAAACAGTATGGACGAAGCTTCCGCACAACTTATCCTGAGCCTACTTCATCAAGATGTGCAGGAGGAGATTGAATCCAGCAGGGCCGGGAACAACAACAGCGGGGCATCTGATCATGAACTCGCTCTACGCGAATGGGCATCCCAGATCCAAGAGTGCGCCACGACCACCCACGACAGCCATATGGCCCTGAGCATCGACCGAGCGACCTACGACGACCGCGTGGCACTCACCTTAGCTGCACAGGAGGAGAGCAGGGCGCTTGCCGACCGAACGCTCGCTCTTCGCTACGGAAACCAAGCGCAACAAGCCCAGCACCAGCCAGCCCAGCGTCTAGCTACGCAACAGACCCAGGATGCCACCAGGATCCTGGCACGCATAGACGGGGCCGACATCTCCTCTCTGTTTCCCGCACGCACTGCAGCTGCTCTTGGATACGGCGCTGGGTCACCTTCCAATGTCGCCGCAAAGCCCCCCCTGGAAAATAATGCCACGGCTGAGTGTGTTGCGTGCTTCGAGGAACAGCCCTTGAAGGACATGATGCAGACACCGTGCTCGCATCGGTACTGTAGGGCTTGTGTACTACGTCTAGTCAGAGAGGCACTGGCGGATGAGTCGCTTCTGCCGCTCCGTTGCTGCCGTCTGCCGATTCCTCCATCGACGCTTCAAGATCACCTGGGCCATCGATTGGCCAAGCAGCTGGAGGACAAGTTGATCGAGAGAGAAGATCCGTACAGGACCTACTGCTCCAGAGCGGGATGCGGTCAGTACTTGATGCCATACCAGGTGCAGGGCTACATCGGCACATGCAAGATCTGTCGACAGGAGACTTGCACTCTCTGCAAACAGCCCGCCCATGCAGGGACCGAGTGCGATGATGACCAGGTTGAAGACCAGACTGTTCTAGACCTTGCAGCTGAGCAGGGATGGCAGCGCTGTGCGCGATGCAGCCATGTCATCGAGCTGGGAACAGGGTGCAACCACATCACGTAAGTCAAAGTTCTTCCTACGCCTTGTCACATAGCTCACACTCTTGATATCCCTCGTACCACAGATGCCGCTGCAGGTACGAGTTCTGCTATGTCTGCAGCTCTACCTGGAGATCGTGCACCTGTCCGATTTGGGACGAGAGAAGGTTATTGCTCCGAGCTCAAGACGTCGCCGGTCGAGATCGAGACGATCCGCCACCCGAGCAGGAAGTTCAACAAGTGGCACAAAACCTCCAGGAAGACCACGAATGTGACCACGACAACTGGAGGCGCGTTAAAGGCGCCCATCAGTGCGAAGAGTGCCACGACGACTACCCGCACTTCATCTACGAATGCCGACAATGCCGCTTGCTCGCTTGCGCGCGCTGCCGATTCAATCGTCTTTAGTCGGTCTCCGCTACACGGGAGTGGGTGACGATTTCTACTTTGATTCTTAAATCCCTGATATTTTCGGATATGTACTGTGTATGATTGTGCATCCTTTCCTTAACATGTTGACATATGACAAGCATTGTTGTGGCATAATGGACAAATCTTGTGGGCATGGTAAGCTACGCAGCCGAGGCATTTCAGACACACCCACGCACTGTAAATTACCGCTTCTTTGAAAATTCTAGAAGATTGTCCAAGCGTGCACTCGTCAATCTGTGTATATGCATCGCCTTCGCACATTATCCAATATAACATAAGACCACACCGATGAACAGACCTACCCGTCAGAGGGTACCAACCACATTCTCCAAAATTGCTCGTCCTGCCGAATGAGGCCTACAGTAGGCAGATCTCTTGCTGGGGCGCTGTGACCATGAGTCCATGGGAACGCTTCCACAGCTTCAGGTCTGCTCTGCATTCTCCCTCGTTCATATTTGGACAGCGTCGTCAAGTCGACGGGCCTGTGTGCGATGCCCGTGAGTCGGTATGCATCGAGCCCTGCATGATAGCCCCCGGGGATAGTTAGCATCTTGATTCGTCAAAAGTTTCTTGTTCTGTCTGCGTTCGGTTTCGCTGCCGTGGTTACTATACCTTCCCTTGAAGACTTAAGACTCTAATAGCTTCGGGGTGGGGGGTTGGACGGCCTCAGCTGAGGGGATGTCCCACCGAGATAGAACCTGCGGTTTTTTGTTTTTTTATGAAGCACAACAATTCTGCAATTTCTCACGATCGGCTCAGAAGATCAAGTTCCCATAATGGCCAAATTACATCGATGTAAGAGAGCAACCGCAATAAGGGGAGGGTCCGGATTGGGAGAGACAGCCAGGGCAAAACAGCAGATGAAGCCTCAAAAAAAAAGAGAAAGGGGGCATAACAGGGGCACAGTGATCGTTCCAGTCATCCTTGGGTAACCGTCATAACAGATTCGGGACTTCGTTCCTTCGTATTCACATCCCTGCCTGAAAACCCCAGGGGACTAATAGCAGGGTTTGCATGGAATAAAATAGTGTCAGAGGGAAGGAGAGAGAGGGCAAGACAGATTCTGGGGGTCGACATGCACGGCGCAGGCAATCAAGCATTCTGGCTCGGCTCGTATGACTGCTGCTGGGGGCTACGCCAGTCTAATAATCTTTCCATCAGTGAGACTGAGAGGTGAGATCCAGGGGAGCTTGAGACTTACTACCACCGCCGCCGCCGTAGCCACCGCCACCGCCTGTAATCTGGGTTAGCTGATACTCTAGGGCCATCTCGAGCGGAGGATGGTTGACGAACCGTAACCACCACGGTAACCTCCATTGCCTCCTTCACGCTGGTTGTAGCCGCCTCGGCCGTGGAAGCCACCGCCGCCACCTCCAGGGCCACCGCGAGGCCGCTCCGAAGCCTTGTCAACTCGGATAACCCGACCATCGAATCTGTTTAGAATCAGTACCAAGTCAGGGAAGAATGAAGGGAAAGAATAGAAGTTACTGACTCCTGGTTGTTCATGGCCTCCATCGCCTTGTCGGCATCCTCATCGGTTGCGAAGCGGACGAATCCAAAACCACGGCTGCGGTTGGTATCATGGTCCTTGACAACGACCTGAGAGCAAATTGATTAGATGCTGCGGCTCACAACGGCGCAACAAGGGGGGACACCCACGGCTTCCTCGACGACTCCGAAGTCCTGGAATCCTTGGCGGAGGGTTTCATCAGTGGTGTGCCAGGCCAGGCCACTACACTGAGTTAGTTCTAATTCATGGCGGAAGCCAGATACAGGAAATGATGCAAACTTACCCAACAAAGAGCTTAGACATCTTGAGTGGAAGGTAGGGTTCTGCGCGAATTTTTGGGTGGTTAGTACCGAGGAATCAGAAGCACCGCGGTAGAGCGAAGAGTCGAAATGCTTGGTATGGTGTTAAACGTTGCTTTCGCACCGCAGGAATTTGCACGGGAATGGAAAGTCAGAGTAGGATGTGAACGAGTCAAAGAAAGTATTCAACAGTGGGAAGAAAATGCTTGCGACAGTGGCCTTCAGTGCGAGGAAACCCTGCAGAAGATCCCCTCCAACCCAGTTTTGGCCAGATATGAGGATGACTGCCGATAATCGCTCCGAGGGGTTCCTTCCGTCATTTCTGCTTCGGTGCTCTGAACAAAAAGGAATAGACACATACCTTGGCAAGACTACTTGTCTATTGAGCCTAGATGGGGGAGGGATTCAGAGAAGAGAGGGAAGATTTTTAAGGAGAGGGGTGAAAGAAGGAGGATTTTGTTCCTGGCGAAAAAGACTGCGGTCAGCAAAGTGGGCAGATGCAGCAAGCGCGAGTTGGCCGATGGGAGAGAGAGAGAGTAAGAGTGGTGGGAGAGCGAGAGGACTGGACGGACACGGACAACGCGGCTGGGTTAAAGCGGGGGGGGAAGAGAGGAGGGAGGGGAGGAGGAAGGGCTGAGTGAAAGTGAGTGGTATTATTGATACAGTAGTAATAAGGTAGTGTATGTACAGTGGTAGTCTGACACAGCGGCAGAATTGGTTCAAATAAATGCAAAAGCAGTGTTTGTCGTTTT